GGGTACAATAGGCTAGTACAGTAATCAAGTCTCGATGAGATAAAGGCGTGTATCAGTCTTTCATTTTGCTGCGTCGAGAGGTATTTACGAACGCGACCAATATTTCTGATTGCTAGAGACGACGATTTACAGATGGAATTTATATGCGAGCGTAAGTTCATCACAGAGTCAAGCATGACGCCCAGGTCTCGGACAGTATTAGATAAATTAATGATATCATCTCCAATGTTGATATTACAGAAAGGAGGATTTTTTGAGAAGCGTGAAAGGAAATGAATGATTTCTGTTTTTGAAGGGTGGCACTGCAATCTGTTTTTCTTGGCCCACTCCATGATTGCATTAACACATGATTTCAATCTTTCCATGCCTAGTATGGCCAGTATGGCCATACTCTTGACCTCGTTATCACTAGAGAGGAACAAACTTTCATCAAGAATCTCTTAGGCTTTGATCCAGCACTTTCTGATCATATTATGATTCGGTGTAATCTGGATTTTTGTAAACCTGTTGCTCAAGACTTGTTATCTTTTCGACGTTTACGTGCCACTGACATGGATAAGTTATCCTCTGACCTGGAAGACTCCGCGCTAATTAGATCACCTCTAAATGATGACCTTTCATTAGCTATTGATCAATTCAACTCCACTCTTCAATCTATAATCGACAATCATGCCCCAATCGTTCGTAGGTCTGTTACTCTTTGCCCTTATGCGCCGTGGTTTCCTGATGAAATTAAAGTTGCAAATAGAGAGAAGAAAACTGGAAAGACGATGGCGCGCGCATAACACCGAAGCTAATCATATATTATACACCGAACATTGTCGTGAGGTGAATGACTTGATTCGTTGTGCAAAAGAGAACCACTTTTCATCTATAATTGAACCAAGGAGACCAGAAAATATTATTTCAAGCAGTTAATAATTTGTTATACAAGAAATCGAAAGTACGTTATCCCTCTGTGGGTTCTGATATGGCTATACCTGAAAAGTTCAAATCATTCTTTATTGACAAGATACGACGCATACGCGATAGTTTACCTGTTCATAGTACTGGATTTCCTAATGTCCCTTACTTAGATAACTCTGCGACTCAATCCCGGCCCTGTGAATTTGCGACTTTTCAACGTGTTGCTACCGACCTAATAGCTAACTTAACTAAATCCTTCAGAGTGAAGACTTGTGCTCTCGATCCACCACCAGCTTCTGTGCTAACTAAATGTTTACCAAGGGTGCTGCCAGTTATAACTGATATTGTAAATCGTTCCTTAGATGAGGCTCTTATACCAAACTCACTCAAAACTGCCTTGATTAATCCATTGTTAAAGAAGACTAATTTAGATGCTGAAGATTTAAGAATTTTCGTCCTGTTTCTAACCTTCCTTTCGTCTCTAAATTGATTGAGAAATCGGTTGCGGTACAACTTGTGCAGTATATTGATGACAACAACCTTAATGAGAATTTACAATCGGCTTACAAGAAATTGCATAGCACTGAGACTCCCCTTCTGAGAGTTCATGACGACATCTTACGTTCTGTGGATCGTGGTTGTACTGTTGTTTTATTACTGCTCGATCTATCTGCGTCAGGGGAGGACATCCACCACACAGTAATCTCGTGCGTGAGAAATTAACGTCTCTTACCCCTAACCCTGCAGGAGACGGGGCCTACGGTTTATTCGTCCTTATCCGAGAAGACTGGAATATCTATCCATTTCATGATTATAGAAAGGTAGCAAATTCTCCTCACTTATTTTAAGACCATGAGTCAATTTTTTTAGCATAAATGGATCAAATTCCTCTCACTCTGATCTGATGTTTGGAGTTCCCCTGGGATCTGTTATAGGTCCGACCTTGTAATTATTGTATACGTCTCCTCTCTGCGACGTTATAAGAAGGCACGATATGAACTTCCATTTCCATGCGGATGACTGTCGGGTTTATTTTTCGCTTGACGCAGTTTCTTCAGTTACTACTACGAGAATCGAAGCCTGCCTATAAGATATTGGAACTTGGATGTCATAGAACAAACTTAAACTTAACAGTGATAAGACTGAGCTTTTGGTCATCGGATCGGGGCAATCTGTCCGCTTCTCAGCTTCCTTTTATTACAGCGATTGGTGGATCTGTTATACAGCCTTCGCACTATGCTAGGAACATAGGTGTAATCTTTGACAGTAAGTTAAATATGGAACGTCAAGTTTCTGTTATTTATAAATCTGCATTTTTTTCACATCTGGAATATTTCTCGGATTAGAAAGT